TGTCCTGCTTCCTTTGCGGTAAACTAACTCCTGGGGGTTTAATTTCTTCTTTCTTCCTTTTTCTTATAAGGCTGCTTTTGCAGATTGATATCTTTGATCATGTAGCAAAAATGCCATTAAAATCAATCGAGAAACATGTACTTATAATAATTTCCTTGTACGCCTATTTATAACAAATTCTCTGCATTTTGGAGTACTTGATAACAACTGGTAGATCTGGTGCAAAATGCAGTGTCGTTACCACGGGACCATGCGAACAGTTCTCAGCCAAGACCAAGTTATGCATGTAAATAAACCTCAAGTTCACATCTGATCAGAACAGATATGTGGGAGGTGTGAACAGGGCTGACCAGATGCTAGACCATATGATAAACACTGAGGATCATGGCATCAYATAAAACCAGGCATTTATTCGGTGCAGCTGGCCACGCATAATCTGCTCCTAATTTATAAGGCTGGAGCATCTGGTCCATTGCTGTCATTTTATCAGCCTTTTTGGAGCCCTGTTCTTGAATCTCTCATAGTTAAATACTGCAGTTCTGTGTGCTGGTGGAACAGGAAGTTAAAACCACTTACAGCAAGAGATAGGCTGTTACTCCATCAGGCTGATAAGGTGGTATTCAGTCATGGTCATGAAAGAAAATGGTAGGGCCTGCTGGCATGAGCTGMACATTGAATGACAGACTGACAAAGATTGATAACCATGAATTTCTGTAAGATATAGGCTTTATTTCCCATCAGCAGAGTCCTTAGTCATGATGGAGGGATTTGGCAAGCTGAAGTTGTTGCAACAGACTATGCTTGTGATTGTGGACATTCCCCTGTGATGCAGCCAAGAGGAATAGCTTGCACAAGTTCTGATTTTACTTATACTGTTATAGTTAGTTATACTGCTTAGCTTTCCCATCCCCTATCACAGGACCAGAAAACAGCATTTATTTCTCTGTTTCCTGAAACATAAGCTAGGATATGAGACTTTATTAGAAGCTGCCTGCTTTATAAGGAACCAAAAAACGAGGGGTGGGAGTTCTAATTTGGCCTTCCAAAGAAATATCAGAGATCCTTCAATGTCAGTGGATATAATCTCATTATCTTTAGGATATAATCTCATTAGTTTTAGGCATGCTGTGCAYTGGGGGACTGATCCTGCAAGGTTCATCTCAGAAGTCCCTAACTGGCTCACAGGAGAGGTGAGGCTGAGCGGGGACCAGCACATGCACTGCTCAAGCAGTCCCGCAGTGAGGCTCAGCAACACAAAATACAGGTGTCCTACACTAAGCCAGGTCTGTGCTTCCAGTGCACTGAGTGCAGTGGATCCACTGGAGAGCTGGATCCACAGCAGACAGGCTCCATGTGTCCATGAGGAAGAGATGAACAGAAGGGAAAGGAAGGCCAAGGCTCTTATTTTCCAGGTATTTCTGAAATGACCTACCTCCAAGAAAGCCCTTACTCCAGGTCCAGGGTTCTTCCTCCACTCCATCTTCCCAGAGATACAAGCAGCAGGGYAGCATACGTACAGCAGGGCAGCAGGGTACGGCTCCAAGGAAATGGATTTAAAGAATTAAGACATTACCAATGATATCTAGAAGCTGTGGGTGCAGATCTCTCCGCTGGGACCTTCCACAGCAAAGCTCATCTTGCACAAGCCCAGTGTCTAGTGTCTGCAGTGGAGTGTGTTACAGGAACATGCCATTCTCCCTGCTCATGGAGAAGAGTACCGCACCAATCATTTTACCAAACTGTCCCCAGTAAAATTATGTTTCAGGGTAGAGCTGAAAGGAAATTTGCATTTCAAATGGAAAGAGAAAATTGGCTTTTGCAGAACATGTGGGGCTGGTAATAAATCATGGCACTGTCACCACGGCAGTGATTCCTGCAACTTTAGCACCGCTTTCGTAAGCGTGCAGTGTCACGAAGGAAGCGAAATCCGGTTAGCAAACACAGTGCAAGACTTCTTCAGAGCATTTATTTGTTTTCCCAGTGTAAGTGTAGTGCACTTATTGTGWCTTTATCAAGCTAAACTGTCAAGTTTCCAAGTTCTTTGTAGACCTGTAACATGATAGCTGGTGTATTTTATACCCTAAACAATTTCATGCTCTGCATCTAAGTGAAGTATTTGGCATTGTCKGTGTCTCTTCCCTGACCAGGACTAGTAGATGCAACTGTAGTATAATTTTACATTTGTTTAACAATGGCAAAATAAGCTGCAYTAAAGAAAGAAGAAACTTGGAGAAAGAGTTTGGATTATTGTAGATATTTTGGGGGGATTATGATAACCCGCGAGTGGACAAAGGTACCATTGTCTGAAGGCAAGAGGGRCTGTTTCTTAGTAGGTGACTTTATTCTGGTCCCATGCAGCCTGGTAGAGGGGAYAGGGCAAAGTGTGCTCATCCAGACACTGGATATTGCAGTTCTTGCAGTCTGTGAGCACCTGCTGGAATCTGAAAGTTGTCACAGCCCTAGGTACTGTGCAAACTTTTGGTAAGTCTCTTTTCCCAAAGAAACCTTTACATCAAATAAAAAAGGCAGGGTAAAACAACTGGCAGAAAGGGAGAGGAGCAAAAAGGGAAGAGTCATGAAGGAAATCTGATTTTACAGACTAAGTGCGTAGAAGTGGCTGCAAATCAGTCACTGCCTGCAAAGCCACTCTTTGAAATATATTATATGTTATAACGAAATGAAGGAAATATTAAATACGTCATGCCTATCCTCGCTTGATAAAGAGTGACCAGTAGGCATCTAGCCTSCTTTCTCGTGACAGCTGCCGCAAGGTCCTGGTGCTGCTTTGAAGTGTATTGCCCACAGGTGAAGCATGACGGACAGAATATGAAAACGCTCTGGATGCGGTTTCAGTGATCTCAAAGCCCGTCACTCAAACTGAATGGATTCACCTTAGCATTTGTGAATTAAAGGAAAACTGGATAATGATTCTGTAACAGAGCTGCTTCCAAAGTGTTGTTTGCACTCTTTCACCAGGCCTGCTCTCTCTTCCTCTTATTTATTTAGTACACATAAATACATTTTTATTAAGCACACACATACACATACACATACACACAAAATCATTTATATCAGTATTTAGATTCTCTTTTTTTTTAATAGGTTTTATAGAATTGGAAAAAATATCTCCCCTCTGTATCCCGTGGCAGCTTGGTGGTGAGTATGCACCCAAACCTTGATCAAGAAATCATTTCGCTTGTAAGATGAAGACTGGTAGGAAGCAGATCATTAGAAACCACAGCTAAGAAAAGAGTGCACAGTAAATGCTGAATAAATKCTGACCACTAAAACCTTCATGTCTGTCACCAACTGAGAGAGAAGATCCTTTCTGTTTCCATTCAATGAGCTCCTGCATAATCACATACTGGTTTCGCTACCAGAAACAGTTATGTTATGAGCCCTATCAAGACATTATAAATATGGGGTGTGCTACTGGATTGCCTAGTTCTTATTTTAAAGAAAGGACACTTTCTACTTCTATTTTAAACTTTGTTTTAGAAGAAAAAAAAAAACTTTGAAACTTTTAATTTAAAAAATTATTTTAATTTCAAGGTTTAAAACAGTAAAACCCTAGAAAAAGCCTTAAGAATATATGTTCATAAGCTTTTTTTTTTTCCTACATTTTTTTATTAAAATGTAAGGCTATTTGCTTTGTACTTCCAGATACCATTTTAAACTGTAATATAGAAAATACAAATAATATGTGTGCTTTGTGTAGCCTATAATGATTATGATGGATCAGATCATTTACTGCAGTAAAGGTTAATTAAAAAAAAAAATGTATTCCAGCCATGTTCTAATCCACAGATGTCCACTCGCATCTAGATCCATGATGGGAAGCATCTTCCACTGTTATCTCTATGGGAAAAGAAAGAGAATTGCCGCTGAAGTACATATTTAAACTGCATGGTACTAAGTTTGATTGCAAATGCAGTATATGACAYCCTACTGTATCCGTCCAATATTTCTACTGTTTTTCAAGAGTTTAGCTCTAATATGAGTTTGCAAAATTTCTCAGCGCTAAGTAGCATTTCAGCAGTGCAAGAGAATTACTTCAAACCCCGCTGTCTTCTTAGCATGAATCTACTAATGCACAAGAAGGACCAATCTGTGTCACATTATGAAGAAAAACAGTATATTATAGTTGGAGCTCTGAGCTGAAGACAGAAGCCCAGATTCAAACTTAGATGCTTTCCCACTTTAGCCCAGTTACCCCTAAAAAGGACCAAATCGAAGCTTTCTGAGGCCAACAGCACTGAAGTCAGTTGTGGCTTAGGTCTTTGTATACTCTGTGCCTTGGCAACTGCAAGGCAGGATTAATAATAAATCTCATTTTCTCTTGGGTTTATGGTGTATCAAGACAGTTTGGTGACTGAGACTAGGAAATGGTCCTTCTAGATTAGCTAGTTCTTGTCTTTTAGCTCATATAAATCCATTATCAAGTTTAATGATTTTCTATCTATCTTAAATACTTTACACTTGAAGAGTGGCCACAAAGGGAAGATGGAAACATTAACTGCTATTGAAATAAATCCACCAGGTAAATCCCTAAAGAAAAATAGAGAGCTTTCAGCAGAATTACATGTTAACAAAAAGTTGGAGTTCACTCATTTTCTTAGTTAATTATTATTTGACAGCAATAAAAATTGATGAAAGCAATCTTATGTATAGCAGTTTGATAAAAGGGAAAAGGGAGTCATTTCTGATCAATGTATGCAGGGGATTTTCTCAGGTACTTACTGTAACTGTGTAAGCACTTTGACAGCATGCAAACAATTAGCCACCCCAAACTTCTCCTTTTCTTTGTCATGTCTTCCTTATCTGATTCGAAACTAGCTCAGCTGATACAAAAACTCTGGCTAATATTGTTCATATCTCTCAGAAAACAGCAGTTTAAGTGTATTTTTTTTCCTTCTTCCTTTTGGACAGTATCTGCCCTCGGTGAGGGGATGGCTCTTGGCTGCCAGCATCCCCCCGAGCGTCCGGGGGTGACTCACCTGTCACAGCAGCACCGTGCACTGCCGCCTGCTGTACGCGCTGCTGCGGGACAGCACCGGCACGTGGCTCCTGGCCCTGATGCAGTAGCTGACGCCAGGCCTCAAATCTTCTATTGCAATAACCTTGTYGGCTCCTTCGTACACCAGCGTGCTGTGTTTCTTCAAACGGGATGGAAGAAAAACAGCCAGTCAAGAGAACATGGCCCTAGCAAGAGCATCGGTGGCTACAGTTTGGTACGGCCCCGGGATGCTGAACAGCTCCAGGAGCTGCCTGAAGTCCAAGTTAATAACATTTTCTTTTGTAAAAATAATAAAAAAAAATTAAAAAATAAAAAAATTAAAATGAATTTTAAAAAATTTTAAAAATTACAAATTTTAAAATTTTTAAATAAAATAAAATTAAAATAAAAAAATTAAAATTAAAATAAACATTAAAATAAACATTAAAATAAAAATTAAAATAAAAATTAAAATAAAAATTTTAAAATAAAAAAATAAAATAAAAATAAAAATTGAAAAAGAAAAAAGAAAAAGAAAATAAATAAAAAATGCCCAAACAAACTCACTTCTGGTCCATCTGGTTTAATTAGGCCTGAGAGGATAAAACATTGTATTGTTGGGAAAACATAAGGCAGGAATTACAACTCCATCCAGGCAAATTCAATTTCTGAAAAATAAGTCTAGTTGTTTTCAAGTATTTACRCAGTCGGTCACTGACACGCTCACAATCCTGGAGGGTTGTTTCGCTGTTAAACACAAGGGGATGCCCACGCAGTACTGACTCCAGTTTTTCAAAGGTAAAGGTTGTTTTATTTGAATGTTTACTTACCTCATCCAAAAAATTGTTAATTAGGAAGACTTGATATAGGAGATCATAATAATTAGTCATTGGAATGCTGCTGCCTGTCTTCCTTTTGTAAGGAGAACGTGGAGCCYGGAGTTTTAGGATTATGGATTTCTTCCTGCGAACCACATTTACCAATGGAGGTCCTATCATAGCTAAAGAAATAAGCAAAGTTATGAATATGATTATAATTATAATGGTTGTATAACACTTCACAGACCAGAATTTAAATCTGTTTAACCATGTAAYGTTAGTGGTACCAGCTGGACCTGAGGATGATTTAAGCTTGAAGTGCCACTTAGTAAATTCCTACTTTGCAGTGATTATTGCTTGGGGCTGACATTTCCTGACATTTAGCTTTGAGCCAACACTTCCAAACTCTGACAAAGCTCCATGGTGCTGACTGAGGTTACTCAAGTAAAACACTTTGTAGTCTTTGGCCTAGTTTTTCCTGTTTATCTGTGTGCGTGCACTGCATGAAACAGCTACTTGCACTGTTTTTGTTATGTGAAGAGCAACATCTTCAATCCTTAATTTCAAAGGTTTTGCAATCTGCTTGGCTGAGGGTTGGAGCTAGTGCCTGCAGCCCCCAAAGACACAGCAAAGCAGAGATGCTCCTGCCCCTCACAGCTCCATAGGAGCAGGCTGCAGAGCAGGGTTTGTTGCTATTGCTTTTTGGTCAGTTTATGGTTTGGTCTGTACAGAGTAATCGAATCTGTTTGCAGCTCAGGCCTTTGAAATGGGCTACACTGGCTCATACAACACATTACACATTGACTATGGAGGGAGAACTACTTAATACACAGGCAACTTAGTGGCAGGCATGCCTATACCAGTCAGTATGCTTACAGTCCTCCAGTTTATCCTGCAACAAGAGATACTGTTGGCCTCAATGTTCTTGAAGGTCTTTTCCAACCATAATAATCCTATTATTCTATGAAATTATAATGGCGGTACTTGCTTACGTTTTGCACATGGTTGTTCTTGTCTACTGAGGTCAGAAAAATACATAAACATTAGAAGGTTGCTGGTTACACAACTCTCTGCTTTCTTCTCCCTTTTTCGAACCACAAAGGTTTTTTCCATCTTTTTCCACGTCATGTACAATCCTTCCAGCAGCTCTGAACACTGCTAAAAATATCTTGTGTAGTCCTCTGCCTTGAGGGTTCCTAATTACAGATAAGTAATTATCTGTTACAGATAAGTAACTACTTATCTATAATTGGTTGGCATTCAAAAACTATCATAACACTTCACCAAAGGACTACTGATTCATGACTTCTTCTTATAAAGCTCTATAGCTGGAAAGAGATTACTCATGATTCACAAACACAGGCAAAAATGTTATATTCCTATATTCCATGCAAAAACAAAAACAAAAAACAAACAAAGCTTTTTCAAACAGTCCCGTATGTTTGTACTTACTTTCTTGCCATGGAGTGAATCTGCAGCTGAGATTCCAGTCGGAATAGACTCCAGCTGAAGCAGCTTTTACTCTGCCATAATAAGGCTCTTGGATGTTTGAAGTCTCATTCGTTAGGTCACAAAAATGGCTTTGAATCCCCCAGCAGTCCTCTTTGTTCTGCCACGTGCTCTGCCCATACCTGTGGAGAAAGAGGAGGAAAGGTACRAGTGTTAAGTCACCTCCAGCTGGGTCTGTAAGGATTCCTAGCAGTTGATTGAGCTGTAGTAGCCACAATTCTGCCACGGAAAATAAATCTACTTCAATTTGCTGGGAGGGCAGATTGATTTCTGGGCTCGTTAGGAGCCACATTTACCACTCAGAAGAGGTGGATAAGCTTTGGTTTACGGGACATGTTCAATGCCGGACAGAGCTGCTGTTTCAGCCACTTAATTCCTCCAAGGCAAAGGTGGTTTCGTCAGAGGTGCTGACCCAGGAGTGCAAAGACAGCAGTTTTTGAAAGTTTTTACTGGGATCTCAGAGTTGGTTCCTAGTAGGGTCTTAGGTTGTCACTAGGGTTTCCTGAGACATTTGCATTGAAGGAGTTGAGAGAGCTTTGGTGCCRCTGACCTTCAGAGGTCCCTTCCAAGCCTAATTTTCCTGTAACTCTGCTGTGCCATGAGGATGCACAGCACATGGCTGGAGGTGCTGGTTATCAGGCTTCTTCAGGCAGTTAGACTGTTTTATGGGCTGTTAATAAGTGAACAAAGAGCTCTTATTTTAATAAGAGCTGCTCTGTGAGCAGAGCTAAGCAAGGCTATCCCTGCTGAAGGAGACAGCAGCTTTTGCCGTTTGAGAAATCTTTGGACTTACAAACGGGGGCGGACCAGGACTGCATGGGAGGCTGGAGTTCCCCTGGTACTTACACTTTATACTGCACGAAGTAGCGGGTGTCTCGCGCCCCGCCGGCTCGCCCGGGCAGCCAGCACAAAGTGGTGTGGAAGTTTAATGAATGAAACTCCACCTGCCGTGGTTTGATCAGCTCCTGCAGGGCTTCGCTTTCYGAAGCAAAAATTGCTGCAAACAGTAGGGGATAAGAGTGTGTCTTAGACGAGCTTTTCACACGCTCAAATAGCACGTTTGGTTTCAGACCAGCAGACCGCAGGGAAAAAAGATGTTCTGGATCTCTTGCTTGAAACTTGCCAAGCTGCTGTGACCAGATTTGGCAGTTACAGAATACAGCAAGTACTATGACAAGGACTTTTTTTTTTTTTTTTTTTTTTTTTAATATTTTTCCTGTGAAATAGGGCTAAGGGCTGTCTTCAGAAACAAGAAACAACATTTCAGACCAAATCACAGAGCCTGCAAGAAGCAGCTGCATCAGAAGTTGAAGCTAAGTTAGTGCTCTTTCCTCCACATACCTCAGCTTTAACCTTCAGGGATTATAGCTGTTCTTCATGGGGAAGTTCACATGCCTGTAATCTGCTTGTTATGGGATCAGTTACCATAGTTCTGTTTACTACCTCTGGCTAAACGCAAAAGAGCCTGAGGTTCACGTCTTTTTCCAGCTATGCTGCTTGCAAAAAGCTTTCAGACTGGGGTGGTCGCAGAGGAGAGAGCGAGTCGACAACCTCTCTGAAACCCCCAGGTCCTGAAAACGCCCGGGGAGGCTGCAGGGACCCCCACGGCTCTGCATTACYGCAACATTTTCCCCGGCAGCATCACCTGTGCTAGCTGAGATAAAACTGGTAATACAGCTAAAAATAAACGTAACGAGAAACATGTTTTTTYAAATGTCTATTCAGAAACTTGAAAGACAGCCAAGCAGATCAACCTGGAAATGACAGAGCTTCTGAAATCCACCAAAATATCCCAACATTTCTTGATTCATCCACATGCRTTAACAGACCAAGCATCCCCTTCCCCGTACCAGAAGAAAATTAAAAGCCTTTACTTACTAGTTATCTCCTCCTGAAGCAGGTGCATGACTAAGCARAGGAGGGAGACTGTGATCCTCCTCATGTTAGGAAAGCAGCATCATGACTGAGGATCATCTCGCTTCCTCTTCGCCTTGTCTTGTAAGGAAGTAATTGTATAAACATGCCAGAATTCCCCCCTTTTTTTTTTTTTTTTTTTAAGAAGATATCCAAAATCCCCCTTTCGGCCTTATTTTCAATTAGCAGAAAACATTTGAATTGCTCTAAATTAAACACAAGTGATAGTTCGTACTTGGCAGCTGTGGTCACTCACAGATTTGGAATTAATTCGGGAGCAAACCAACATGACAAAGATCCTTTCCTAGGTACTAATTCCCAAAGGACCTGAGCCTGGCAATACAGCTTTTCCCCTTTTTGTGTCGCAGACTTTTGTGTCAGGTCTCGCTCATCTCCTTTGGGGTTTGCTTGCTAAGTGCTGTTCTCTGCGTTATTTTAGCTTGCTAGTCTCTCCGAGCTGGAGGATATAAGGAATCTCCCTGGAGCAGCACAAAGTGCCTACCTCGGCATGCCGGCTGCCTTGGAGCCCGGCTTTGGGCTGTTTCAGGAGCGCTCGGGGCAGGACGCAGCCCGGCACGGGCACGGAGGTGACATTCCCAGGCACGCCGAGGACGAGCATCCTCCTCGCACCCAGCGGCGCCGGGAACCCAAGTGCTGCTCCGCCTTGGACTTTGGACTGCCGGGAATCACGTGCCCCGTCCGCTGGGAATGGGTGTCGCTGATCCCCACACGCGCCCGCGGGCACTGCGGCAGCCAGAGGTATCCCGGCCAGCCAAGAGCCGGCTGCAGACGCCGCTCCCGCTCCTCGGCCCCAGGAGAGCCCAGAGCTGGCGGCGGTGGCAAGCGCCTGGCTCCCATCCCATCCCATCCCATCCCATCCCATCCCATCCCATCCCATCCCATCCCATCCCATCCCATCCCATCCCATCCCATCCTGCCCACCCTGCTTTCGCAAGCTCTTCACCACTAACCAGCCCGATTTTGGGGGGATACAGCGGAGCACTATTGAACGGTGCACCCCAATGTGAGAGCTACCTGTCTGTAGCAAGGGGTGTTTCTGCTCGCAGAAATGGGAATTTGCCCAATGACCATCTTTGCCTTGGGAGAAAGGGGAAGCAAAGCACCGGCCAGCGCAATAAAGAAGTGCAAGTTCTGGTTGAAGTTGTTGTACTTTGTCAGTAAAAGTACTCAGTTATACTAGGAAAACAGGAAAAAAAATCTAATTAAGGATCTGGGCTTATATATGCTTCAGTAACGCTTGTTGAGCATGGGCTTTTTGGCCCATCTGATCTAGTATACTTCATTATTCCAGGCGTTTGCAATAAACATATTAAACTCGTAGATGTCTGACTTTGAAAATTAGCTACTTAGCCCACTCTAGGGGATTATAAAATAGAGAAGAAATGCACAAAAGGAGAAAAAAAAMATAAATTAAGGCAGAAGGTAAAAAGGCATCTCTGTCATCAGTGCCTGGAAATTTTTTATCTGTCCATTTCCCAAACACATTCTTCAAAACCCAGTGACCTKTAAGCAGTTCCCCACACCGAACGCAATGAGCATTTCATCATGTCACAGGAGCTCGAGGGCGGGAAGCYGGGACGGGTATAACCCCGGCGGCAGCGCGGAGCGTCCCGGCGCTGAGTCACGCTCCGTGTGGGGCAGGGGCAGCCCCACACCTTGCAGTGCGCATGGGGCGATCGCTCCAGCTCCTGGCTCTAGAGCGYTGGGTTTATGGTGACAAGGAGAAAGAAATGGTCACCCTTGGGCAGTCGGGTTTCCTGCGCGCTCCGATAGCGCCTTATCTGCCCGGCGGCAGGGCAGGCCGCAGGAGCGGCGGCCGYCCCTGACATGTCGGTGCTCAGTCACGGCTCCCGGGGGCATTGTGCTCGCTGTGATAAACGGAGCTGTGTTTGAGCAGTCTCAGCTGTACGTACACATGCCTACATATGGACATAGCTGTATGTACGGGCGTGTGCATACATACAAACACAGGACGTATGTCCTGAGTTTAATAAATGATATATATGGCAAATGTTGTTAAAGAAAAAAAAGAGTCTAATGCACAGGCTAATATGTACTAAAATATTATGTATTTTAAATAAATGAGAASGTTTAAAAAGCAATAAAAAAAAGGTCCAAACTTCTGTGAAATAATGACTGAAATAGTAGTGCAGATGATTCCGTAGATCCAACTAAAAGATGAGTCCTCAGTCACATCCTGCAGGAACATACGCAGAACTGCAGACATGAGAATCTTTTCTTTTCCTGGAATAAAATCCTCTCTAAATGCAGAGTAAACAGAGTTAATTCTCTTGAGGTTTGGGTATTGCTCCATGGAGGTAAACATCAAGTACATTCATGCTGGAAGCTGCCTGACTCATTCGATTTGCAAGCACCGTTTTTTTTCCTTTTTCTCCAAGAGCAAATTGTTTCTTATCCATAAGAGCACCAAAGTCAAGCCCGTTGCTCCTGCAGCAGCAGCACCRTTGTCTTTCCAGGATGTGGTTCTCTGGTATTTGGTGCCGTTTGGTGTGGGCAGGTTTCACGTGTGGGCACGATGCAGGTACAGGAAGGGAGGGAACTCCAGAAACRGGATTCACAGAGCCTGCTTCTAGTAACTGCCAGAAGCAGTTCCTCCAAGGGTCTTTCCCATGTCTAGTGTTTTACTGGGGTTGAATGGACAATAAAAAGGGAGCAGTTCAGGTTAATTTGGCCCCAAATGGTATTCTGTGGTTTTCTGTCTTTCACACTTCTAAACAACCAGCAGAGATTCATAAAAAAAAACTATACTGGACGAGGGCTGRGGAGGGCACCTCGTCCAACCTAACGCTCAAAGCAGGACTAACTGCAGTATTATTCCTCTCAACCACTTTACTTTCAAAGTGGTTTTCACTTACATCTCACTGGGATTCCCCTGCTGCAACTGAACTGTTTTTTTCCGTGTTTGGATTATTTACCTCTGAGCAGAGACTGCCTCTGGTTCTTCTCTGTCCCCCTCTCCCCTGTTTATGCAGATCACAGCTGCAATAGATCTGTCCCCCTGCCCCATCCCAAGCCAGTTCCTCTCCTGGCTGAGCAAGTCCAGTGCCCTCAGCTTCTTCCAGTAGAGATACGTGCCAGCCCTTTCCGATCTTAGTGCTGTGACCATGAATCACTACTTAAAAGAAAAAAAACATCAGCAATGGGAACTATTACTTTCTGTTTTTTTTTTTTTTTTTTTTTTGATGTTCAGTGAAGGTGACGAGGCTTTGCACCGCAAGACCTGTTACAGAGAGGCTCTCAGGAAGCGAGACTGACTTTCACTGCACGGCGTGGGCACTCGCTGCTTCCCGCCCGCAGGTGCGAACAGCTCAGGGGCGAAAGGCTCCGCAAAGCGTGTCACGGTTTAATCACCCCCAGGAGCACTGAATCGCCCCGAAACACCGGTAACCAGCACTAGCCCTCATTAGGAACTGTGGGTAAGACCCCATAGAAAAACTGCTTAAAGGATTTTATTTAAATGATGAGTTTCTTTAGAACTGTTAGTCTGTTCTCATTTGAAAAGCTGCATGGCTTTTTTTCTGCGGTTAAGGATTGAAACAATTGATTTTCCCAGAGAACACTATTTTCCTTTAAGTTTTGGCTCCCTTATTGAGTCATTTGTGGATTAAAAACCACGAGATGAGGGGCACGCGGGATTACCATTTCCTAGCTGTTCTGGTTTAGCTCATTTTAGGAATGCGAGAAAGATGCTGGGTACTTGCTTGGCCAGTAGATAAGCCCGGCTAGGCCCACACAAATGCTGCTCATGTTTCCTTGGAAAAGAAAGCGGGTCTCAGTGCCCAGTGGGACAAATGCTTGTGCTGCTCGATACCCCGGCACCAGCAGCCGCCTGCCAGCYGAGTAGGACACAACCCAAGGGCTTCCTCTCCTCGTGGGGTGGCGTGTTAGGGATGACTGTGGCTGTGCCCCAGAGCGCGCCGCTCTGACTCACCCCACACAGGGAGCCCCACGGGAGGGCRGGAGGCGCCGCCCTGGGGAGAGATGGGAGCAACGGGCGCGGCTGCGTTTGTGTCGGCAGGAGGCCTGGGCAACGCTCYGCTCTCCCAACAGGGAAGAGGCGGAATTCCCGGACAGCTGCAGAGGGAGGGAGCCCCACAGACAGCTGCGTGCCTGGAGGAAGGGCGCGATGCTTCCGCTGCTCCCTGCTCTCCGTGCGGGGCAGGAAGCGCCTGCGGTGCTGCCCACGCTCCCGGCACCTCTCACACCACAGCGCGTTCAGGAGGCACCTGCAGTGCTGGAGCTACTGCCCACCCGCTCCCTCGGAAATGGATCCACTTGGAACCTCTTCTCCAGGAGCAAACGGCTTCATTTGAAAGCGGGAGCGCACTTAACCTCACCTTCCTGTCAGCAGGTCTCGATACATCCTCACTCCAAATCTCTTTCCCTCCTTAGACCCCGCTTCCTTGGCGGGATGCATTAACAACCCGGCAGCCTTCCAGCCYGGGGATGTTTTGTGATCGCCATACACTTTCTCACTAAAACTTGCATGAACTCTGAGAAACGCAAACACTAGAACCAAACTAAATGTGCTAGCATTAATTTTGTCACCCCTATCTTCAAATTACTATTGTATTTAAAAAAATATTTTGGAATTTTATTAGTTTTCTTTTATGGCACGTGGGGATGATGTTGATGCAATYGTCTGGCATTGCTCAGGAACTGGCCAGATCAGCTTTTTAGGACAGCATCCTCCKCTCTCAGCGTAACTGTTTTTCACTGATCTGAGTTTGCACTTGACTGCACGGTGACCATTTAACCAGAAAAAAAAAAAATCTGTAATAATTATTTGCCAAAAATCTTTGCTCCCTATTTCCTTACAGGAAGGGAGAGGGAGAGGGAGAGGGAGAGGGAGAGGGAGAGGGAGAGGGAGAGGGAGAGGGAGAGGGAGAGGGAGAAAAAAACTGCTAATTTTGCTGCGCAGCCTGGAAGCAGTTGATAAAGGGGAAGTCATTCTCAGTAATTAATCACCCAGGTTGTTCCAACTTGRATTCAAATAGTTGTTGGCAGGTGGGGAGGGGGAAGGAAGGTGCTATGTGCATACAAAGTCAGGTTTCTCCATTTTTCCTACGATAGTGAACAGAGGATAGAGCAAATAGGCAAGACTTGAGTAAAGAGAAGCAGGGGGAGACTCTGTATTTTCAGTCTAAAACATTTATTTTTGTTATTCATTTATTTAATATCCATTTACTTATTTTTGAAAATAAAGAGCCTCACTTCAAAACTCATTTTTCTACATGCTCATACAGGTAAGTGAAGCAGAGCAACTGGCTATATAGTATTTCATGTGCGTGTATCACAAACAGCATTTTCTGTACATTTTAAGTAACACGTGTACACAAMATATAAAAAGCAAATAAACAACTGAGCTTCCAAATGAAGATTTATTCTTCAGTATAAAAAATAACAGCAGCAAAAGGACAGCACATTTGCTTTTGAGGGTTTTTTTTTTTTTTAGTTCCATATAAAAACATTAAATTTATACTATTTACAAGCAATTTAGTTACAAATTCGAGTCAAAGAACCAAAATAAGCTCAGCAGGTCTGTTTTTGGCAGAGTGCCGAGCTTGCTAAAACCAAGATYATAGAAACATAGAAACCTTAAGTTTGGAAGGGACCTCTAGAGGTCATCTAATCCAACCCCCCTGCACAGGCAGGGTCACCCAGAGCACGGGGCACAGGGCGGCATCCAGGCGGGTTTTGAAGATCTCCAGAGAAGGAGACTCCACAACCTCTATGGGCTGCTTGTTCCAGGGCTCTGTAAGATGATTTGGCTTAGACATCTGAAAATGTTTTGAAGGGTAATGCACTGGTAGAGTAGGCTGCCTAACATTCCTTCTGGGCTGCCTTCTGGGCTGCCTTCTAGCCCAGAAATACCATTATTTTAGACAATATGGAAACGGTGTTAATAAACATGGCTTTCATACTTAAAAGATTGGGCTTTTAAAAATCGCACTAAAAATAGCAATTGAAAATCTCTGAGAAGTTCACACAGAATGGACAATTAACTAAGTTCTTTGAAAAAGTTGTTAGCTGTAGCTGGCAAAGCAGCTCCATGTTCCCCATCTCCGGAGGTCCCCGCACTGCAGCAGGCTGCTGGACAGGGGACTTCATGCTGGCAAATACAACAGCACACTTCCCTTGCTCCCAGGCTCTCCCTAAACACCAGTGAGCGCTGCTGGAGACGAGGCTGTAGGAGCTCAGCCTAACCCAGGGGACCTGGGTCCTTTCTGCGAGGCCTTTCTGTGAGACCTTTCTGTCTCACCGAGCCTCACGTGTTGCGCTAGCCACAGCTAGCAAATAAAATAACCTGGTGTTCATGCTCCATGCAAACTTCTCCAGCTCACAGTCGTAAAACCTGGAAGCTGACTGAGAATTGGGACACCTGGATGTACCCTTGGGGTTGGCTCAAACCACCCCTCTCCCAGCAGCTTTCAAGGCCAAGTGCACAGCACGGAGGTGACACAGCTCTACTGAAGGCAATGCTTGAGGGGCCTCTACGGCTATGCTGGAGCAACCTCAGTTGTTATTCCTGGGATACTTGCAAGAAGAGGTTAGATACATGAGTGCRTGTTGCTTAGCGTGACACGTTGAAGCACAGACTCAAGCACAGAGCAACAGGACCTTTCTGTTACCCAGAACTACCCTCCTACCTGCCTAGGTCTTCATGAGTACATTGTGTGTTACTTCTGATCAATCCTGACAACACCTGCCCTTAACTGTATCCTATTACCTAGCTGCTCCATTCCACCCACAGGGCTCCATAGGCTTTGAAAGATCCAGGGCAGAGCAATGTACAATGTAGGACTGGAAAGGGAATCAGAGAAGGTCACCTGGTGTTAAAACCTACCTCTGCCCTCAATCAGGCAAAGGGTATTGCTTCTTTTACAGAAAGGCACCAAAAACCTACAGAAGAAAACTATCCACAACACAAATCACTTTGTGAGCTCATCTATTCACACAAGTCTAATAAGGCGGATCTTATTGAATAGTTTGCCCAGAGAATACTGATATTAGAGATGCAAAGTGCCAACTGACACTGTAGATCTAACATTTCTAAGCATTTACCTGAGTCTGATGGCACAGTCTGGAGGCAGACAAACCAAATGGAGTGGTTAATATGATGAATTCCTGACATTCTTCAGAAACAGAAAGATTCTTCACATGTAGCCGACAAAAAAGAAATTAATATCCTGGTTGCCAGAAGAATTACTCATACTAGCAGCAACAAAAACAGTTATTCAGCAAATTAACATATGATTAGAAACTTTTTCAAGAAAACCAACAAACAAAAACCCCACAAAAACCAGTTTCYAGTACCCTAATTCTCCCTGTTAAGCCAAGCCTAACTTCAACACTTACCTGACATCTCTAAATTTCTAAGGTATCAGAACTTATTTCCATCTCTTTTTTTTAATCAGCAGAGCTACAAAACCTGATAGGAAAGACAACAGCTCCAAAGCACACAAAATGGCCGCCCACCCCCCGGGCAGGACAGGCGGCTAATGGCACAGCGCAGCGGTGTTACACACCTCGGGGTCACCGATTTCCACAGGCATCCAGAGACGGGGCGAGGGAGAGCCGGGGAGAGGGGGAGAGCCGGGGAGAGGGGGAGACTTCCTGCCCCTCTGCTGTGGGACACACACACACACACGGTGGCGATCAGATCCCGGGCCCACACCATTTGCTGGGCGCTCAATCCAGGATACGACACAGAAAAAGTCAGATGGTCCCATTAGACTTAAACCTAATTCAAAAATACATCAAAGTCAGTTAGCACATGCTGAAAACTTTTCAACTCTGCTTTCGTTACGTTTCTGTTGCAACACATGCCTACTTCATTCCCCCTCCCCCCCCATGAATTTGAAAATGCTACTAGGAGAACTATTATAGTCCTGTGAGTAGGGAAGGAAAGAGCTATTTTCTTGAACTCTTTGGGTACTGCGCACATAAGGCTGTGGTTAATGTCTGATAATGGCAGGAAAGGAAGCAGCTCAGAGGATTCTCTAAAAACTAACTTCATTTTATGAGTATTCCTAACAGCCAGACACATGAGCATGGAAGTACCATAACATCTGTTTTCCTTCAAAAACATTTGCTGTAATATGCACAATTTATGAGTTTTCCAAACATGATACATCCATTAAAAATATCTTAAAAAAAAAAAAAAGGTGGAGACACACCATCTTGTGTCTGCAAAAAATATCCTTTATTCCCCTGAAGTAAGTTTCATTAAAGCCTAGCCTACTGTTAACATTGAAAAAAACCCATAAAGTCTTGTCTAAAGCAAAAAAAAAAAAAAAAAGGATTATAGGCACCAGACTCAACATTTGAAATAATTTTCATTCTTTGACTTTCAAAATTATAATCACATACTTCAAAATTCAGAGTGCTGTCAGATGACTAACACAGTAGCTACAGGTTATCACACTACTGTTTTGAGCTGTATATTAGAGGGAGATAGTTTGGTGGAATTCCTGTTAAGTCACAAGAATTGAAAAACCCTAATCTGCTATAAAACAGCTTAGCAGGACTCTTGTTGATTTCTATCAAGAAAAACCCTCATACTGTTCTAAGAAGAAGAGAAATGTTCTGAAGGAAAACAAGCTTTTGAATTTTAGAAAACATTTTTTAAMGAATGTGTGTAATTGGACATATAACAACTTCCTTTCAATGAGGATCAGTCAGACTGCTACGCCAGTTTTCAAGAATGTAGCTTGGTTACCCAACATATCTAACAAGCCAAACTCATGCAGCTAAACACAGATAGTACTATTTTTGTATAGCCTTCTTTAGAGTCACCAAATTTGTGTTTTGAAGGAAATAGTCTTATATTTACTAACTGAAACACAGAAAGTAGTAGTCCTTCAGGGCACCCCTCTGATTGCAAAACAGAACACAGCAAATAGCTGATTCTTGGCAATCAACCAAGCTCCTCAGTTTCTTTGAGGTGCATGAAAAAGCTATAGGATACTCTTAAAAGATGTAATAGAATTTCTTTAATAGTAGCGTTGCTTTTAATAGAAAAATATTCTTTAAGCATTTAAGAGAAGAGAGAAAAAACAGAATGCTTTTAATAAAGGCAAAAACTGCCAAACAGTTCTTGCATACCTCCATCATAAATATTCATTTATGAACATTCAATTCACAGAATTAATTTTGAAAAGGATTTGAGAGAGAATGGAATGAGGATGCAGCAACTGATTTWTACTCCTTCAGCAAATATGTTTTCCACAGAAATGAGCTTATTACTTCCTGTCTTACTCTATACCATATACACAAACACTTCCGGAAGTGACAGGTTGTGAAGTTTTTTTCCACTTTTTAAAGTTGCCCTCAGGTACTACCCTCAGTTGCATTTCAGAAACCCATCACAGTAAATTCTTCTTCTGATGGTTCTTCTGTTTGGATCAGGAGGATATTTTAGAGCTTTTAGATGTTCATAATATGATYAATACTTTCCATGTTGTTCAGTAATGCTGTTCTTCATGACTTCTGGTTCAATACTGCAGCTATCCTGGTTGCTCGGTGGGCCTGTATGCAACCACAGGCCGTTCTTCACCAACATCTATCAACATATCTAATGGCACATGAGGTTTGTCATAGCCCGAGAACTTGAGCGTGCTGCTTGGATGAACTGTTTGTTGCACTTCTTTGGTAGAAACCTCTGCATCTGAACAGTTACTGCAGATCTCTGTCTGGTTATTGTCAGAAGGGAARTAACTCTCTCTCCCTTTATGATTTTGTTCATCATCACAGGATACTTCCCCAGTGCTTTCCTGCACCGAAACCTCTCCTGAGTTGCCTTGTCCCTCTGACAGRAGAACAGAAGATGCTCCTTCACTGGAATTCTGAGTATTAGTAATTCCTTCATTTTGCTCTACCTTCAGCGAGTGCACTTCTTCGTCAGCTGGCAACGCTGGCTCGTCTGGCATGAGACTTACCACAGAGTTGCATTTTGTCTCTGGTTTTGTTTCTAGAAATTTGCTTGTGTTTAGGTTTCTTATCACACTGACCTGCAATGGAAAAAAACAAAACACATCAACAAAAAGGTGGTCTTTTTTTTTTTTTTTTTTTTTGGTGCAGGTTACCAAAGGTTTGTGATATTATTTTAATTTTATTACAATCATTTCCAACAGAAGTTAGCAAAATGAGACTGTCAGATTCACTAGCCTATGACTATTTATCCAGCTCTTTGATTAATACTTTTAGGCAAGCTCACAAAACTGTTTTCAGTGTGCAAGTACATTGCACGGATGAGCTCCATGACAYAGGTGTAACCTTCACCTGTTAAATTGTGTTTAAGTCATTTGAATTTCGCAGTGGCAAGGAGAGCAGAGGAGGAGAAAAAACAACAGCCACCATCACCACCACCACCGCAGAGCAGCACTCTTCCTTCTGAATCAGCTTCAACAACCTTCTCAAGCCTAGACATATACATGAACRTAACTTGTAACTAGTATAATTTTCCATCACTGTCTCAACGAAGACAGAAAAGACCTTCCAAGATGGATCTCTAAAATTATATGAGAATCATTAAAGAGTCCTGCCAGTCACTTCTATGTTGAAGCCTTCCTGGTTGTTTCTGCAGGATTATTAAGCACTGCATCAGTACCGCAATGGACTTGGATGTTTCCCTTTGAAAACTCCAGTCYTTCAGGAGCCCGGCTTCAGCCTGCGTTAGACAGACATGCTTTGAGACTGCTTCATTTCTTCAGATTTATCTTGATTTGGTGCTGTTTTTTGTTTTCTTTTAAAGATATTTTCAGCAATACATATGAAATACAGTAGGGTAAGTTTTCARTTGTGCTGTCCCCTAAAGCTAGCATAAAGCTTAGGGGAAACAGGACTTTTGAATTCAATAATTCTTTTTCAAATTCTGCAGTTCACTAAAGGTACAAAGCATGACCTCCTACGGACAAACTAAATTCTTGAGAGGTATACAAATACTGGTTTTTGAGATATTTAATAAAATATTTAGACTGGAAAACACTGGTTGGGTCAAGTCTGAAAGGGYTGGGATGTAGCTACAGTGATAAAAAATGGTGAGGGAAAAATAACATGGTGGGGGTTTAAGAAAAACTCTAAATAAAGAACCTCCATTTTGTAGTTATACAGACTATTCCATTAAAAACAAACAAAAAGACAAAAATAATGTAAAAACAACTAAACCCCCACCATATTCCATGAAAATGAATTACTTGTAATCTGAATTTTACAAACAGCTGTCTTATCAGAACTAGAGTGAGAGGATCTCTTTGAAAGTCAAGGTGTATCACTGGAAACTAGTAAAAATGGCATTAAGGTTTCTCCTTAATAGCCAGAATATGCCACACTATAACACAGCTGCCCTTTGGAAATTAATATYCAGAGAGAATCACGGCGGTTATATGGGAACAGTCCATACACCAGATAAAGAATATYCAAGGTAATTTTACATGAGCATAGTTGAGAACTAGCCATACTTCAGAAGCTGACACTAAAAACGTAGTTGCAGAAAATAAAATCAGAAAGGTGCAGATACTTAAAATCTAATGAAGAGTTATTAGGACTGATGTTGTACTTCTTGAAAAAATCTAAACCTAAAGATCCAGTATTTTTCCATATATATCACATACACATTATATACATCATATACACATATACCTATACTATTCTTAAAGGGATCAGAGCTGCAGCTTTTTGTAGTAAAAATCTTTCACCAGTAGTCATACAGTAAGTGACATGAGAAGATAATTCCCTATTTAAGTTGGAATACTTTAAGAATAGGAATTAAAATTGAATGCTATACAAAATATGGCTAAAAGCTGCCTTGACCACMGTGTTAACCTCCCTCCCTCCCTCCACCCCGCACCCTCTATACTACAGCACAAACAGAAGAAAGAAATCAGACCAAAGCACAGGAGTATTTTCTGTCCTTTAAAAACTTACACATGGCCTTAGATTCCTGTTTCTAAAATGACTTWGGAAAAATGCCTTATTTTCCCCCTACACAGTTTCTGCATTTCACACTGCTTCCTGGCGACTCTTACCAAGATGAATCCTGAGGATARAGTAATCTATTCAAATACATCCAAGACTGAAAACAGTGACTTTTGCCTAGAGTGATACAGAGTAGATACTTATTTCCATCCACAAAACAAGGAAGGCATTGGAAGAAAAATACCTCATGGGTTTCCTGGTATCAAAGTTTCTTTAAGAGATGCTGAATCACCATTTACATAAGCTAGCAATTCACGTGGTCATTTCGAGTTTGAAAGTGAAGAATCAACAGATCCTCCTGTATTAAATCTGAATGCCATGCAAAGCATCTCCAGTAAAAAGTGTAATTAAGATATGGGTTACTATTTGAAGAAAAATATTTACTGTAGGTAAGTTAATATTTCACTTTTGTGTACATAATACAATATTGGTAAACTGAGAGTCAACAGGAGAGACTAAGTTGTATCTTAGCAGTAGTTCCTGGCATGACACATGTGTTCTGATATTTTCATGTCTCCAACAAGAACACCTCACGTTTCAGGTCTTTCATCATCTTAACAGCCTAGAGTGTTTCCCAGGTGGAATTCAGAGTCCAAGATACATATAAATGGCACAGCCAAAGAAGAATTAGTAACTGTCAAGGTACTTAACAGTTCCTGTCTCAACCCTGTTTTCTGAGCGGTTGTCCTAGCAATTCTCAGGAGCACATTCTGGAATGACTGAAGGTGGTGGCAGGAAGAGTATCCTGAAATACTTTTAGAGAAATAAATAACATTTATATATGCTGATTAATAACAGCTGTACTGCTGATAACATCAGACGCACCTGTGACCCAGCAGAAGACAACTAGCACGACAACCTTTTCTAAACAACATGCTCCATTTCACTATATTCATGTTCCTGTTAGGTGCCCTCCTATTAAAACCAGGGGTGGTCAGCACRTTTAAACTAAGACACTCTTATAATATAAAAGTAACCACCCAATGTTGTTCGTATAAGACAGYCACATTTTGGAAGCAAGATCTGAAATGACTGCATAGACTTCAACCAAAACCTTTACATAGCAGGGGAGGGTCCGATATGCTGGAACACCTAGCAAGCATAAGGCAATATACAGCAAATTGAGAATGGGCACTGGAACAAGTTTAACCAAGACATGCTGAAGTGTGAACCTGGAGCTCACACCGGTAAGCTCAGAGCAATTCTGTAGCAGCCATTCTCCTCATGTGATACTCCCTTTTTTTTCCTAATCCCTTTGATGGGGTATCACAGTAGTTTTGGAAAGCCAGGGCAACAAGGCATCTACTAGTCACAGCTTTGAGTAATTCYGGATGAAAGTATCCCTGGCTATAATAAATTGTCTTCACAAAAACCATGTGTGTACAAAGAATATAACAGTACGAATTCAGACAGTTAGCAYATTAGCGTGAAAAAAGTTGAAAAATCCCCAGTGTCTCACTTTTCATGCAGTCAAGACACGCTCAGCTGGTACGTGGGCCTAGATGCTGCCTATARCAACACACTGCTGCTGACAGACTAAAAGCTGCCCGCAGCCGAGGCTGAGCAGCTGCTGCCTGCTCTTCCCCATGACTGCCTCGTGTCACTGCCACATTTCCCCGAGTTCTTCCCTCTCCCTACACTGCTACCTTCTTTCTTACTCCACATGTTACTGTAATAACGTTACACAATTAGCATTATCACAATGTTACCATAAAATGAAGACACCTCACGCATTTCGCTGGCACTAGAATGAAATAAATGCATCTCTGTGCAGTAAGGACCTGCTTTTCCAAATGGGCCAAGTAATGTTGCTTCAATTAAAAGAGACGGAATGCTAATCCTAAAGCAGATTGCASACACTGTGACAATCTTAACATAAATTCTAAACATTCTCAAGAGCATAGCAAACAGTGAGATAGTTACATTTTAACTAAGCAGCTTTGTCTATCTGGAAAGTAAATATTGATATTAATAATAATAATAATATACACAGAGAAGTCTGAACTTACCAAAGATTTAGGCAGCTTTATGTTCTTCTTCCTTAATTTCTTATAGCCATAAAGCGTACTCAAAAACAGACCAAAGATCAGAATAACACCAACCACAACTACAATATTTTTTGAGCCTAGAAAGTTAGAGAAAAAATTGTCAAATTTGGAAAATAAACCATTGCTGTAGCATTTAGAATAACTTTAGAAACTAAAATAGCTCAGAACTGTTAGCTGCAATACGTGACCTTTCTCAAGAACTGGCTTTATAAAACACGAAACGAAAATTATACTGACAAACAATTTTTCAAGTTATGAAGAYAACAGTGTTTTTATAGAGAAAGGGGAATTTTATAAATAAGTTTTCATTCCTTAGAGATGACAATTGTGACTTTTTTTTAAAAAAAGAAAACTTTGTCCATGTGATAGTCTATTAACTGACAGAAGAATTACTGCACATAATCTACATCCACTGAAATTGTTCAAAACGCAGAACAGCTAACTCTCCCAAGCATATTGTTCTTCCTCCTATAAAGAAACATTTAAAGTTACCAATTTCACCTCTTTTCTTTAGTCTTTAATGACATTTTGGTCCATTTTAAGTAACACTAAGAAGTCTGAAAGAGGTTTTCAGAGATACTAAGTTGGGTCATTAGCTGCCTTTGTTCTCCCAAGGGATCATCTTAAGCAAGATGATAGCTTAATTTTTTTTTACCACAAATTTATTGCTGCTTCAAGCTCACGAAAGCCTACTTGCATTTTCTTCGGAGGCACGATTCAGCAAGAAGCAATTTGTTACAAGATGGACGTTCTGCTTCTGAAAGCCTTGCAACTCACTGAATGACCTATTTTTAATTGTTAGTAACACCAGTGATCATGCAGAATCAAAAGTAGAATTTTTTCAAAAGCAGGAAAAGCTTTCTCCCCGCCCCAGAGCATGGCCAGCTTGAAAATAGTGTATTATCTTTGTAAGTCTTCAGAACCGGAAAAGCATATTTGGCAAGAATTACTATGTTTTCCCTTCTTTGATAYTCTCCTAGGGGACAAGCCAGCTCATAGCTGTAGCAGTGTCAGAATACTGAACTAAAATGAATCTCTGGTTGGACTGTGTGTGGCAGCTTTTCAGTTACATTCTTACTAAGCTTTTAGAATTCTCTTACTCAAAGTCTGCTTGAGAGGAACAGGAATGCAGCTTTCTTCTGACCAGGCGCCAAGTATCAGATCATCATAAAAACTTCCCTTCGCCGAAACACAGTATACGTAACCTTCAGAAGAGATTGGGATGTCTAGGCTACATTTCTTTATATTACAATCGTCTGCACGGAGCTCCTTTTTACTCTATCAAAAGAAAAGCTGTATTACATCATTTGACTAAACACAACAAGATAAAAATTACAATACCTTCCAACACTTCCAGCACATAACAATACTGTTTGATAAGACGTATATGTGCCTTGTTAAAGTTGTAATTTTTTTTTCTACTAGCTATTTCCAAAAGCGAACATTTTTACTTGCTATCTCAAGGAACTGTGTTCGATCAAACTGTGGTGCTTACAGGTAAAATTTTCAAATACCCTCAACATAGGCTTTGTTGATAGTGTATATTCACATTCTTAAGTCACTAAATTAAATTCCTTATTCAATAAAGTACCTGGATATGTAAAGTTAACTTTATAAACAAACAAATCTGCTATGAATTTTCTCGAGTTCAACCTCTGGGATTGGTACACAAATGAAGCAGGACCACTATCTTGAAAGTTAATCTGTTAGAAAAGGTCTACCTAGAACGGTGCAAGTGGCACAAAGTTACCAAGGTTTTAAGCGCACGTGCACGAACAATAGCATGTAAACAAGTAATCCTAACTTTTGCATACAACTCATGTAATAATCCTTAATTTTTATACTAGATGTGCATTTGGTCAACTGCATGTCCTATCCTCACCATGACCCACTTGAAATTTTAGGGCCCCACTCTGCATCTGTAGTCATATGTTAGCTGTTCTTCTGATAACTGCCAGTTTTATGCGTTTTTGAAGATTAAAAAACCACTACTACTAAAGGGCCAAACGCCCTGTTTATGTATTTAAAACATAAATATTTTAATTTGAAGTATTCACTTTGAACCATACCTGATTTTTACTGTCCTCAAAGGTCACTGTGTATCTGACATCTGAATAAACATCTGTGATCCAAGGACAAATCTCCTCAGATGGAAATTGAGGATGGTAAATATCAACGATGATTTTGTCATCTTGCCTTAACAGATGCAATACAGGTGGTCCTATTTTTACTGAAACACATCATACCTTTCCCATTAGGCCAAAGGTTTTGACATAGTATTGAGACATATAAACATAACTTGCTATTTATAGTTAAATTCCATAACTTAGAGATTTGAGAATTACGTGTCTATTATAACACTGTTAATATCCTACAGTTGTGGTACTGAGAAGTAAAGAGAGCATATGGACAGCAGCATGAATCTGCTTCTAAAACAGAAATAACAGATTATCCAGAGAATTTTACTCTTAAAAAAGTAACAACAAAAAAAGCCTCACAACTTTCCTTCATATATAAGTCCACAACAATTCAGTTCACTGACAACAAGAAAAAAAAAACAAACCCAAAATACTGCTGGCTAAGCCCCACCCATAAACCATGCTCAACTAAAAATGATACAGTACCAAAACGAAAAAGGCCAATTGAAAAACTAAAAAACTAGCATCTTGAATAACAGGAAGTTACGAAGAGTGATATCCTGGTGCCATGGCCTCTGTGAATTGTTGCTCTCTAATGATCTGACTGAACATGTGTCTCATGTTCCTCGGAAACATTACTGTGGCAGAGACGTATGGAAGATAGGCCCATTTCCTGCACACTGYGGAACTCAGCATGATTTCCAGGGCTTCTGTTCCTTTGGGAAACGGTTGGAACAGGCCACTACTCCAAGTCATRACTGCACTGTGTGAGGGAAGGGCTAGGATAAGGACACTCTCTATTCCCACAACTCCAGCAGTGCAGAAACCCAGCTCTTCCCAAAGCACTGCCCAAGCAGTGCTTGGCCAGAGACAGTCTCATGGGCAAAATCCCTTTGGCAAGTACTTGCCACACTCTCAAGCTACATGGAAATCTCTTAGCCCTTCCTCACTCTTGCTGGACTTCTCACTTGGCGCCCCCACGTCCTGCTGGGGCTCGTGCCGCGGCTTTGGAAAGGCTGGCGTGAAGACTGCACGCACAATTCTACAGCATTAATGTTACAGTGTGGTGTTCCTACCAAAACAGCCCAAAGCATTTAAATGAAGGAGGAAGAGCTGTTATTTAACCAGATGCAGATAGTACAGGTACTTCTGCAGTTTCTAGGCGATATCCATAGCTGCCAGGAAAGTGCAGGGTCAAGACACCATTGGGTAAGCGGGGCTGCAGTGCCAAAACAGCACCTCACTGCCCGCTCACTTGAGCGCAACCTCTGTGGGACCCAGGCTCCCAGCAGCAGTTTACCACTACACTTGCCAGCAGGCAGGAATACAACAAGGATGCACAAAGAACATCACCAGCACAACCTCCTTGCTTTCAAAGCCCTGGAAAAATAGTCATATGCCACTGTGGGAGGACAAAAAAACCAAACATCCCTACAGAGTCATAACTAAGAAAYTCCTACTGAACAACACTCATGTTTCATTTCAGTCTGGACTCCTAAGCTTATGATATTCCTAAATGGGACATTCTAATGCACAAGAGATAATTCTATTCATTTTTTAAAATACTAGGGGAAAAAAATACATGATTTGCAGTATGGAACTCACCCTGCTGTTGCAAAACAAACTCGCTTGACTCAGCATACTCGGACTGTTCCGACTCAACAGCAGCTTTAACTCGAAGCCAATGGGAGGAAAAGGGGTCTTCTATTTCCCCTGAGAGATCACAAAAGTGAGCCGAGATGTTCACACAAGTCAAGACAGTCTTATAAGCACCACGGCTGTAAAACAGATCAAATATTAGTTAATATAGTTGCCACTTATTATGCAGTATATTGCTTATGACAAAACATCTGATAAATTTTGCCTTAATTTACACTTAGGAAACCTTAACTTAWCGCTACATGACTTCACCAAATAGAAAGACAACCATTTATCGTAGATTGATTGCTTTTATATGCTTCTGGAAAATAGGAGGTACAGGAAATTATGAAAAAATAAGAACTTACTTGTAAGGTTTGATTTCTACTGTAAAACGAGCAGTTTCAGAAACAGCTGGGTATTGCCAGTGCACGACAGTCTTAAAATCTTCAGCTGTTATTGTAATCTGTGTTGGCGAAGGTACTAGAAGGAAACAGAACAATTTGACTTAGTCAAGCAATAGGAAAAGCCAAGTATCCTTCCCAATTATTAGGAGAAGGCAAACTGCTAGAAATGACTGAAAAAATTAGCCATAAAAAATACTAAACCAATTTCCTAGCAGTATGAACACAACAACAGCACCTTGCATGCTGGTTTTCTCTTCTTTTTTCTTTTTCATCCCATCTGCAACCCAGAACCTTAGAAAAGCCATACTGATTGAAAGCAAGTCCTCAGCATCTCTCTGTCAATCAGGGATGAACACCTGATGCTCACCTGGCTATAAGGGTATTACTGCAGGAGAGACAACATGAATTTAGTGCAATTAGAGCAGCTCAGCTCCTGCAGATCTACCTTGCTCTTTGAGAACCTGCTGAGAAGTCGCAGAACCAAAGCTGCAGAATCCAGGGCCCACTCCAGAAAAGACCTGCTGCCTCCTGACTCAGCCTTGCCAGAATCCATTTCAAGTGGAAAAGCCTGGATCCAGTGTGAATTTTGGGCAACGACCTTTTCACATCTCTTGTAGTATTTCTTAACAGGCTGTTAGAATAAACTAACATTCATGAAGACAAACTGTGAAAATATTATGTAGTTCTACATACGGGAGAGTATTTGAAGTGCATTTAATAAATACCATCAAAGGTGAGGGTAGTAAATGATGCCAGAATAACRTAAGTATGGCTTTCCCTTGTAAAGAAGACATTTCTGTGCTGAGCATGAGCCGGGCTGAGGGGAAGGTCAGCAGTAAGGGAAGGACAATTTCACACACTGTAACCATTGAAGGCTGTCACAGCTTACAAAAAAAGGGGAAAGTGAAAGTCACTCCAACAATTTTACCTATCACTTCGCTTCTCAATGTCTGGCTTGGCATCCTTAATACTCTCTCAATACAAGTTTTGTGAAATGCTGGAATTTAACTCATAGTTGACCTGCTCAACAACTCCACTGCTCACAAAGGGAGTGCTCCAACTGCACTCTGTGAAAAATTGAGGAGGGAAAGTTCACATCTTGAGAACAAGACCACGAAGACTGCACCTGACACCGAGTAATACATAGAGGCTGAGATATGCTATTAACCACCAAGTTTTTATACACGTAATATGCGTCACTGCAAATGGTGCTGTGGTTAGTTATTTTCTAGCATGTACAAAAGTGGTATTTCAGTTATTGGAAGAAAGGAACACAATCATCAAATTCTCAACCACAAGAAAAAAAGGTGTCAAGCTGATAGAAGAGGTGTCAAAGCACATAGATGCCACACTCTGCCTTAAAAGTAAAACACATGATATAATAAGCCCTACAAAATTTTACTGTAGTGTATTATTATTTACATAATCATATTTATAAAAGGCTACAATTAGCAAAACAGTAGAAAAATCTAAACTCAGAGAATATTAGCCTGGCTCCTTAGCAAATATACAACCAAGAGCCAGGCAGTTGTAACGATGCTGCAGTTTGCTCTCTCCTCCCTCATCCTTTCTCCTGTCGCCCCATTGCCCACTAGGCAATTTCAATACTCAGTTCTGAAAGGCTATTCAAGATGATTCGCAAGTAAGTTTTAAGATTCTAGGCTCTTCTATGGTACTTATCACTAAATTAGGCTAGCAGATGCTTTTAAATGTATGCAAATATTTTCCCAACACCTCCATAAGAGAACTGATCATTCTTCCCATTTTACACTTGGGATATAAAACAGAAAAACAATGTTTAGAAGTGTGTGAGAATACTGAGCGAGCAAAAGATTCTACCAAACTGCCTCTCCACAGAGATCCATGAAAAGCTTTTCAACCTAATCCCCTATTCTTCCACCTAGAGATGTTTTTTTTAACATGCTCCTTCACTGCACTACAACACCGAGACTGAAAAACACAAGGACTCTTGCAGCAAACAAGGCTTCCTCGTTAAAGAGTTGCTTTCCTCATACACCGTATCAAATAAATCATCTTCTAGTCATCGGCACTGCCACTCTCTGACACGTCAACATCCCATAYGGCAACGGCACTGCAACTTGGCCTTGATCACCTACAGGAACAACCATACACACGTACTGTCAGCTCACCTGTCATACTGTGAGCAGTCACCAGCTCATACTGTCATGCCTACTTATAAGTTTGCTTTCAACAACCAAGCTGATCTAGGGGCATCTCCCACAAACCGGTTATGCCCTCTCTGATCTCCCACTGCTCATCCTCAAGAAAGGCCTACAGGATACTCTTCGGCAACACCTGAGAAGCTGAAATTCAAAACTCTACTCAGGACTAAGAGCCAGGCGTGGTACAAGGTTTATAGCTCACCTGCTGTCATCCCATTAAACTCTCTCCATGTTTCACGGCACAAAAATTACCTTTCTTTTCCTCAGAGAGGTCCGCTTGCTGTTTCTTCTACCACTTCACTTAATCTCTACATGCAGCAACCACCTTGTCTCTCAAAGGATATATAGTAAATTCTGTATAAAGAGTATAAAGTGCTCTCAGCTTGTATTTATCTCTGGGCTTTGCTAGCAGGCAGGAAAGGCGGGAAGTAGGCCTAATTGCTCATCTGCTTTTCCTAATTGCACTAGTCATTACCATGGAAGATGGTATCTCTGCCCACAAAACCGCCTAAGCAGCTGGTATCACGGAGCTGCTTTTCAGGGCACTTAGAAGCTGGAGGTGCAGAACTCGGTGCTCAGSACTACACGGTTGGGGTGCTGGGGGCCGAGACACCTCATGGTGGCCCCACTACCTGTGGGCCACGGAGAGCGGGAGCTTCGCGACGCCCCCTCCCAACCTCACTGTGCTCCAGCATCGAGGCTGCGGACACAGGGAGGGCACACAGCAGATTTTCGGAGCACTGGCACTCAGAGATGTTATTTCTGCCTATTACCAGTCAAAATGCCACCTCTGAACAAGGTTTTACTGAACCATAAGGCAACAGTAACTTTCTAAAGGTGCTATGTTCCTTTGCTAGGTTGTTCAGCAGCACGACTAGGGAAAGACGATAGTGTCACAATGATAATTGATAAACACAAAACTCTCAATTTATAAYAAGTTCAATCAGCTTGATAGCAGCTGCACCCAAGAAGCCAACTCAAACAGTGCAAACTCAGCATGAGAAAAGTGTGGCAAAAAATGGTCATCAAATAACGACACGGGGCATTCAAGAAGCTCAGGTTTGCTTCCAGTTCAAATGCAGTGACTTCTGCTCTCCCAGTAAGTCCCGTTCACCCTGCTGAGCACGACAGCAGCACTGGCTAAAAGAAAAGCAACGGAGGCAAACACAAACTTATAGAAATTTAACTTATAGAAACTTAGCTTAGTTCTTTCTATACTTTCTTTAAGTATAGAAAGTTAAGTAACTTTCTATAACTTAGTTACAGAAACCAAACATGCTTGGATTTTGAGGATAAAGAATTCTCAAGTTGGAAAGTTGACCTCAGCAATCTCACACAAAGATCAATGTTAAGCAACATGCACTGCTCACTGAAATACGAGCAGTTGCTCATAAACAAGCAGTTCAGACTATGTAATGATAATTAATGCATTGACAGCAATGGGATGTGGTCTGTGGTATGGGAAAAAGCCCCACATATTAATCTCAGTGTGTGTTCAACTAAAGTATTAAAGTTCTAGAAACACTTGCCTCTTCAGGAGGCTATTACATAGCGGACAGGAAGGAAATGCATGCGGGAGGAAATAGTTTGAGATTAACAACCAGATGCTACTGAACAGCTATTATTTTACTCTACATATCTACTACTTGGTTTTAGCCTGATAAGAAATAAGATTTTTTTTTGGTCATTTTTCAAAGTAAGGGGAGCAAGCACATCCAGCTGCAGGGCCACGGCTGCTTCCTAAAGACTGAGGACAGAAGACAAGCTACACACTACATAAGGCATAGTGCTGATTCAAAAGCATGCATCAAAACTTCTTGCTTGTTCACAGAGAATAAGATATAGAAATATCTTGTCAGGTGTTTTATATATATCTATTATCAAGAGCCAAAACTATATCAGTGAGTTGGAGGACACTTCCAAAGGGTAAGTGTCAGTATCTCAGAGGTAGCCTTCCTACTGAAGTTTGTATCCTGTGCCCCACTCTAACACATGTTGCTAATTCAGATGCAGARGGATTTGCTACCACTGATGACAGAAGTGGAATTTAGCTGAAGATGTCATACACGCAGCACTCATGGCTCACGTCCAGCCACGTCAGGCCCACGCTCATGTTTCGCCTCTAGCCACTTCCACTGCATTCACRAAGAGCAGCAGCTCTGGAGGCTTTGCCAAGCGGGCTCTGCCAGCCAGCCCTGCCGCGCAGCTCGCGGCGGGTCCGGCCCGAGCAGCAGAGCCCTCCTTGCGTCGGGAGGCTGAAGCAGCGACAGGGCTGGCAGGCCGGCAGGTAGGCAAATAAATACCCGGGTGCAGGAAAGCGGGGCTCCTGCTGCCTGCTCGGCCTTCCTCGGAAAAGYTGTAGGAAAAGCTCGTGCGTGCTCGTCCTCACCAGCTGCCCTTCGCTCCCCGGAAAGGAAACCGCTCTTGYAGTGCATCTTCAACACTCTGGGGACACTTCCTGAACAGAGTTATTGCACATAAGCTTAAATCGGTACGTGTAGCAGCAAGGCGGCACAGAACGTTCCTCCTCTCCCTTCCCTCAAAATATTAGCAACTTCGAAAGAGAAACCTCATTCAATTTTATAAATGAATAAAACATCCAAAAGCTAGAGACCAAATTATTTTAAGCTATTAGTTTAAAAAAGGCTTAGTGTGTGAAATAAATCTAAGTATCTTTTTATTGCTATTATTAACAACAGGCTTTCACTTCCTGAATAAGGACACTAATCCACAGTGCTTTCTTTTTATTATTACTGATTTTGGTAAATGTCCCAGTAAGGTTCTACGTGTACTAAGACGGTGGACTTGGATCACCATATCTACATTGAGAGAGAAAAAGAAAAGAAAGAAAAGCATGTACAAGAAAGTTTTTCAAAGCTGCTCTAATAGTAAAATACTGTTTCACCTGTTTTGCGACTATTTTTCTCTTTTATTAGAGATGAAATAGCACTATCACAGATGGTATCTAAATACAGCACTATCATCCTGCTACAATCTTGCTTGCAGCTATACAGAACTGCTGTGACTGCCAATAAACACAATCATACAGTAACAAGCCCAAAAGACTAAGATATCACCCACCAGACACACACACACACACACACAGCTTGTGACCACAAAAAGCAAATACATACATAGACTCAGAAAACAGGCTTTCAGTGTGCAAGAAGTACCCAAACTGCCACCACAGTCCAAGTCGTGCTGCAGTTTTGAGTAGGTCGTTGTGGGATGTCCCTCTCAGGACACTTGGTTGCAGGCTGGGGGTTTGCACGGACAAACACCCAGCTCTGCTGATGGATCACAGGGTGTATTCACAGGCACACGTCCTTGTTCACCTGTTGAGCACCAGCTGTAGGAAAGGGGAGGTGCTGYGCTGCTCAGGAAAGAGCTGCTAGGTTGTCTAGGCAAAACTGCGTCCTCTAACGAAGCACCAACATCACAGGCAAAAGGGCATTCACTCGCGTTTCAGCACTAGAGCTCTGAACGGCCTGATAAGACTTAAGAAAATAATCACTCGGTTGCAAAGGAAAAAACATGTTTCAGAATTCCCCTTCTTCTATTCAAAGCTTTCTGCTGTACTGCCAGGTTGATTTTTACCAAATTAAACAATCTGGATGACAAAGAACTGAACTGTAGCACTGACAAATGAGCAGACAGATTAACATGTATCCTCTGCTCCCAGCCCAGGGGTGGTAACGCTCAGAGATCTGCCAGTCCTGCAGAGCGTGTCCGTGATGGGCCGGGTTCGGACGCTCTGGGAGGGCAGGAATCTCGGCACAGGGAAGCACCGGGCATCAGGACCAGCACTTCTAGGAGCAGCGCTGGGCAGTGCATTTAGGGCTGAGGATTGGAGTAGTAGCCCTGCCTTAAGCTAAGCACAGATGTGTGTCCCAGTTTAAGCCCCTTCACAAAAATCTCCATACACGTTACCCTGCACAGGTCTCTGACTATTGCTTTTAATTAAGCGCAGCCGCGGGTTCTCTTTTCACCTGAGCCACTAGCTCCAACCTCCGGCCTTGCCGCCCGCTCCCATTCCCGGGGGAACCGGGCCGAGGTTTTGGCCCGCCCGTCCGTTCCGCGCCGCGGGCGCTCCGGGCACACGGGCCCACGCGTGGGGGCCGCGGCGGGCACCCCTGCCCCGCGGGGCGGCCTGCGGCACGTGCCAGGCCGCACGAGCGGCCGCAGGGCTGCGGCCCGCTACGTGCCACA